CTAATCTTATTCTGCATTATCAGTAAAGCATATCCCTGTCTATTTGCTTGCCCATAGACAGGCAACTTGACTTACTGATGTGTAAGTTCATGTTGGATGTTGGAAGCATTCTATATAAATAGTTATAATTTATATTGTTATAATTTATATCTCTAGGCTCTTCTACCAATTATCTTAGAACAATTTCCTGATAGCGTATCCACGAAGCAATTAATTCACTATGGGCAACTCATCAATTCCGGTAAATTCCGGTTTATTCCTTATCATTTATTATAATAATAAATTTAAATATTGGTTCAATTAAAGTGTCATAAAAATTGCTGTACATTCCACGTAGCACAGCAGTGATTTAAAAAAAAAACGCTAATTTTAAAAAAACATTTAGGCAGGTGCATGACTCGCAATTGTTTAGCGTTTTAAAAAGTGCATATAATTAGCGCAAGATAAATGCAGTTTTAAATATTATAATATGTTTGCAGCACTTTTCACGTAGCACAACAGTGCCTGTAAAGCGTTCAGAAAGCGCTGTTGTAAAAGCACATGCAATCAACGCAGGATAAATGCAGTAATAAATGCATAATTATTTTTTGATCAATGTGGCTTGAAATCTGCTGAGTTATTCACACGCAATGAAAGTGTATAACTAACAGTAGTTTTGGGAGGTGCAATCGCAAGAGTGCTCCCAAATCGCTTTGCACGTGCTGTTGTGTTACGAAAAAGTGATGTATATTATAGATATAAAGATATCTAAATAGCATAATGTAAGTACTTTGAGCAATAAAATATTAAATACGCTAATATTTCATCGTTCAAACAATTTATATTATTTCTTAACACTTATTTCTTTCTTGTAATAACAATAGTAAATTTATCAACAGGAACGATGTCATCCAATAAATTTAAACAATTTGATTACGGAATATTAGGGGCAACACAAATGTATACGATTTACCCAATCCACCGAATTATTAATTGATATTCGGTTTGAGCAAGATCAAAATCCCAGTCTATTTAATTACAATAAAAATGATTGATTAGCGAATGTCAAGGTTCGTATTTTTTTTTTTGAAAAAATTGTTTATTTGACAAAATTAATTTAGTTGCTTTATGTCTTTCATTGAAGAATGTATATATTTAAATCAAATATAATATGTTTGATTTAAACATCAAAAGAAAAATAAAAACAAACTAAATTAATTTAATCAAATGAACAATTGTTGTTTAGTGTTTAATTCATTCATTTCGAACATCTTTATATTGACATTATATTGACATTTGTCAAGAGAATTAAAATATATTTTCATTTTACGCTGGATTTAAATGTCAAAGTGATTATATCCCCGTTAATGCTCAATGACAAAATCAATTAAAAAATCAATAATCGTTCAACTTGGACCTCTATTCTTGAAAAGAAACGTAGATATACGAAACATTAGGGATATATTATTATACATTATATTAGGTGTACAAATAAGTTTCTGCCGTTTTTAATAAAAAATTAAGCATTTATTGTGAAAGAACGATACATAATGTTTTATTGATGTAAGTCAAAATGTAAGTGCAAGTTCTTTTTGCGTTTGGCACGAATCTTCATTCAATAATGCTTCCAATTCCGCGTCTTCGTACACTTTCGACCTTCCGCTACGTTCTTTGTCTTCGACGTCAAATTCACCGTTCTTAAATTTTTGAAACCATTCACGACAACTTCTCTCACTTAAGGCAGCCTCACCATATGCTTCTACAAGCAATCGATGAGCCTCAGATTTCTTCAAATTAAAGAAATAAATCAAAAGTTCCCGCAAATGACGCTTATTCGGCTCAAAACTCGGCATTTTCGCACAAAAAAAGATATATGATGCTGATACAAAATCGCTAGTATTTCAAGGTTATGTTGTTGACAGATGTCCAACCTTACGATTTAATGTTTTATAAGACAATTTTAACCATAGCTTGCTAGTGGCACCGTCTTTTGTCAAACGGCGGAAACTTATTTGTACACCTAATAATATATTATATATAATATATATCTATTCTTTCAAATTCCTACGGTGATTAATCTATGAAATTTAATCTATGGAATTTATCTATGTCTTTTTTGTCAACAGAGTTATTTTATCTCAAGCTGAATTTATTCGATATATACCTGTTTAAGTTATCACTCTTTTATTAGTATTATATATTTCGCATTTTCATAAAATATTTTATCAATTTGAAATATTTTATCAATGTAAAATGTTTAAATTAACAAATATGTATCTTATATTGGATTGAGGAAAAAGTTTCTTCGTATTTTTTAATTCAAAATTGTATATACAATATCTTCGTCAAAAATAAATGAAATTTCAATTTAAAAAGAGAGTTTTAAAGCTTGAAATCTCTACTTTCGAAAAATTACTATATTTTTTCAGTTTCTGTGAGTTTGATAATTTTTACATCAAAAAAACTGCGAGCTGAAAAAGATGAAAATTTTTCTTTTCACTTTGAAGATCTCTCACGTGTCCAAAAAAAATTTACAAAAATTTTCGATTACCTATTGTAAAAGTTCGAAGCTTTTCCTACAAAATCATTTTTTAAAAATGTTCCTATGATTTTTTGTTACTGAGTTATTCGCGAATTAAGTAAAGGAGCATTCTAACTTTGATTGCTCGTAACTCCGATAAAAATCATTCCACCGCAATTTAAAAAACAGATTCTTAAAGCTAAAACTTTGCTCTAACGAATAATATAATTGTAACGAAAATTTTGCAACAAATGAAAAACTTTTGCGAAAAATTTTTTTTAAATACGAAGAAACTTTTTCCCCGACTTAATATTACGCATTCATTCCTATAAATTTTCGTACTCTCGTATTATAGTATCTCATATTATAGTATTTATTTTTTACTCGCTTAGTATTTTTATTTATCACTTATTGTTATATTATCTTTACGTTATCTTACTCATATGATATATTTCAATAATAAAATAAGAATTTTTTAATTGATAAAAATTATCCATAAATAAATTATCTATAAATTTTGTAACATCAAAGATCAATCAATAAATTAGTAAAGTAAGAATTAAACTTATTATGCCAATAAAAAGTCAATGAGTGGTATTCATAATCCATTCTTGTTTTAAGACCGTTTTAAATAATCTTTATACGTCTATTTAATTGATTCATGACATCTTAAATATTTCAGATGATCTTAAATATAAAATCCGTGAATCCGCTCTATGAATATCTGTCAATGATTAAATCAAAATAAATGAAATTATACATATAAGAATCAATTAATGATATAAAGAGGAATAATCTTTGAGATGGAGAATTTGTGAAATCAATTTTCAAATCATGAATTGTAAGAGATTTTCTTATCGACCAACATTTTATCAGTAATGACTGATTACAATCAGTCTTTTGTTTCTTTCAAAGCGATAAAGATTTGCAACCGTGCTTGAAAAAGCGATTATCATTTTATAGATAAACAATCGATCCATTTGACAATTGATAAAATTCTTTCTTTTCGAATACCTTAATCACACAGCTTATTAATACACCAATCGTAAAATTAGAATCTGTCAAATCAGAAATTATAACAGATAGATTATTGATATGATAGAGTATTGATATGATCGCAACACTTCATGTCAGGTAGCATTTTCAGTAAATAAGTAGTATCGTTTATATATACGTTTCACATTCGGGAAGAAAATCGCGCATAGTATAATTCAAACCGATCGATTTTTGCATAACGATTTCATCAAGTAACAATAATGTCGCTACCGATCCTCCTCCTCTCGATTCTGGCATCCGCTAGAGCAACGTCGTACTTTTCAATGGATCAACTACCCAATGTCCTGCCAATAGACAAAATACCAGCGATCAAGGAATTCAACGATCCGCAATTTTTGGCAACCGTACATGCAGATACATCGCTTACCGCTGTAAGTACAGTTATCGAAATAGAAAGTAAATTAAAAAAAAAAAAGAATGTGCGCAGATATAAGTTCTATCGATTAAAAGTTGAAACGAGATAATTTTTTAAAAATGACTTTGTATTATTCAGAGATCACTAATACAATTACATATATTTAAAAAATCTATCAATTCAATAAAAAATAATATATTAATTCATTTGTATTTCTAAGATTTTCTCGTTAAATTATTTAAATTTCTGTATCAAACAATTCTAATAATATAAATATTTATATGTACAGGGTTGGCCATATTCGACGGAAAGATGTTTTTTTTTTCAATCATGGGGAAAAAACACATTTTTTGCTGTTCATTTTAAAAATCATTTAATAGGGTTCAAGGAGATTTCCGTCGAATATGGCCAACCCTGTATATTATTATTTATAATATATTATTTATGACATAATAAATCTAATGAATGTAAATTATTTTTATTGTTTTAATGATAGCATGTTTTAAATGACGGCATTGCTTAATTTTTTTTATCAATCTTTTGATATCAATTAATCTATTGATATCAGAAAATTATTTTATTGAACAGCTAGATCTAGTGAAAAAGTACGGCTACAATGGAAAAATGCACGAGGTGATCACCTCTGATGGTTACATTTTGGAACTGCATCAGATAACAGGACGAACTAATTTCAATAACTCGCAAGTGCAAAAACCTGTGGCATTCGTGATGCACGGCCTTTTGTGCAGTTCGGCGTGTTTTATTATTTCCGGACCGGAGAAAGGTTTAGGTAATGAAATCGCATTTTTAATGAAGCATTTTTAATGAAGCAATTCCTAAACAGAAGTGTACTCGTCTAAAAGTTATAGCACACACAAAATTTGAGCAACAAGACAAGCAGTAAGCAAATTAACATTTTGGATTTATTGTTTACGTTATTGCGTTACGTACTCTTTTAGGGCTCTAAGCACAAAAATGACTGTAACTGAGTCGTAGAATATATAAATTGTAGTTGTAAATTGATCAAACATTATTCGTTGATCTATAATTATGATTTACGACCATTTTTGGTGCTGAAGCTCTATAGCGACCAATTTGACCAATTCATTTACGTCTTACTATTTCAAGTTTTCTTTGTACACATAGCCTTTTTTATATGTATCTTCAGATTTTGAAGAAAAATATATTGAACTATATTATTTTAAAATAAAATAAAATCATATAATTACCGATTAAAAATTGAAAAAATTTTATTTTCAATTTCATCCGCGTTCCAGCGTTTATATTCGCTTTAATAAAAATATTATTGTATATATTATCTGAAATTTTAGCTTTTGTTCTGGCGGATGCAGGATACGACGTGTGGCTCGGTAATGCACGTGGCAATGTATATTCACGCAAACATAAACTCCCGGCTATTCGAAAGGAACTTTACTGGGATTTCAGGTGAGGATATAATTATTTAATGTAATGTATTTAAAAAATTAAAAACTAGTAAAGGAAAAAAAACGCAAATGTGAGTAAGAAAAATAATTATGGCATTAGTAAGTTTGAAGATACGTGAACATAAGACAGCAGATTTGACTGACTTGACATAAGAATCAGTCACTGGGTCACTACTCTGTCCCGCGAGCCTAAAAATATCGTCACATACGACATAACTTGCATAATACCCGTTCTACAATAGAGTCGCAAGTCGTAAGCCGTAAGAAATTGGCCAATCACAGTTAAGTATAATAATCAACTATGATTGGTTAATTTCTTACAGCTTATCACTTATGATTCTATTGTAGAACAGGCTTAAACGTAACTTGCATCAGTCAATTAAATCAACTAGAACAACGTGTAGTATTTGATGCAATTTGATTGATTGATGCAACTTACGCCTTGCCGACTACATCTTGAGATATTAATCATTAAAGTTTATGACTATTCAGTTTAGGAAACCTGTCGGAATATCAAGTCCATATGAAACGCGAGCTTGAGTCATGAGCTACGTCAGATTTTTTAAATTAAATTTTACTGTGAATACATTTTCATATCAGGTCCATAATTGGATATCTTAAGGCCATGTCAAATTTTTTCAAGCAGTTAGGCATGACAAAGTAGTGGCAAAGTATCGTGGTGTTGAAAATATTTCTATCAGGACATTTTTAATCTTATCGAGAAACTTTGGCTTTGATCACAATCCTGCAAATTCGAGACATTATTTCGTATTAATTTTAACTAAAGATTTTTCGATGAGATAAAGATATATCGCATCAATAAAATATAGTATTTATTTGTAATGCTTTATTAAGCAGTTTCATTATTATGTATCAGTAAATATTATTATGTTTTATTTAAGATTATACAATATATTCGAATAAATAAATATAGGAAAAATTTTTTTATGAGCTTAAAGTCTAACGCTGCACGTTTTTTATTACGTGTTTTTGTCTCTTCCGAAGTTAGCTAATTTTTATTTTGTAATAGAAAAAATTGGGTAAGAAGCAGAAAGTAAACAATCGTAAGAAGCAGAAAATAAATAATCGTAAAAAACAAGAAATAGGAAGTAAAGAGCTTGTTTATATAATGGATATCTTCAAAATGTTTTATTCATTTATATTGTGCCATAAATTTGAAAGTTACATTAATATATTTATCTTTGAAATAAACTATAACTTTTTTAAGCGGTAAAACTGGATCTTAATGTTATGTATTAATGTATGTATGTATGTATGTATGTATGTGTATATATATATACCTTTGGTAAGATCTTGACATAAATTCCGAATATTTTTACGAGAAATTAAAAAAAAAGTATCATTTTAGAAGATATATTAAATTATAAAATAAATTATTAGACTCGTTTCATCAATTTAAAATACTTTGAGAAATAAAATGTACGTACATAGGATAAAATCGAATTTAGTATTTTATAATATTTTTAGTTCTAAATTAAGTATGCTAGGTCGTTTAAAAAATATTATCAATTCAAATCAGATTTGCCTACTAAATATTAATCATTATATTTTAATGACGATTACACATAGAAGTATTTCTCTACAGTTAATTTTCCGATAACTTATTATAATTATCCGTTTTTGTTATGTACTGCGAATTGCTAGTTTTCAATGTAGCTAATACTCGAAAATTTGTCACTATTGTTATGTTCATGATTCGTTCGAATATCCCCAATCTTCTTTGACCATATCTGCCAGTTTCTCAGCAATCATAAAAATAGGTATATTTGTATGCGATGATATAATTTCAGGCATGATGGAACCATCTGCTACTCGTAATCTTTGAATACCAATCACCTGCGTGCATAAATTTCGTACATTATAGGTTGACGTGCGTGCGTGCATGCAATTTTTTCAGAAAATTAAAATTTTTGACTTTAAAGAGAGAGAAGTTTCATGTGTCTATATACATTATGTTAAAAGTCAAGAATTTTATTTATTTACATATTTCACTTACTTTTTCACATTACACTTATATATGCAATTTTGAAATAATATCATCTTAGTAATTAAATGCAAATAATGTTAGCAACATTAATTAATAGTAATTTAATTTACATCACTATATTAAATTGCTCTTTCAGCAAAATATTTTTGACAGTTTCCAAATCAGTACAAAACTATATAAAATTTCAAAATATTATTGAAAGCATAAGAAAAAATCATTAAATTTTGTCTGGAAATCAGGGAAAATTATGGAATTTTAGGATGAAAAATATATGACAACTCTGATATTTATTATACATTTGAAAAAAACAAGTACTTTCTATCTTTTAATAATACCTTTAATCTAGGGTCGACGACAGCAGTCGGATCTCCTTTCGATCCCATCTTGCAAGTGCCAGTATGATGATAGCTAGTAAAAGATGTCGTCCTCATCACGCATTCCCAATAATCATAAGAATCATACTCGTAGTTTTGACATCCAGGAAAAGTATCGTTTAATAATTGTGAATTAAACCGTTTCATTGCTTTCGTTCGACCGACACTTAATGCAACTTTAATACCGTCAATCATTGTCTTGACATCTTCCGGATTGTCGAAATAATTTGGCACGATCTCAGGTTTAACGTTAATGTCGTTGGCCAATAATCTTATCCGTCCACGACTTTTTGGTTTCAATAGTATCGGTAATACAGTCCAGCGATAAGTGTTGCTATATTTGTTCCATATTTGACGCATTCGATTATTCAAACCCATTATAATCGATAGAATCAAATCTTCTTTAATTCCACCACCAACAAACATCAGTTCAATGTTCGGTAAACCATGAAATTTCGTTGAATACTTGGTGTTAATGAAAGCGAGGGCTTCGCACCCTGAGGTTGTTATTGGTCCCGATTGCTTCATAAAAAAGTCTTTCATATATGGATGAATGGGATTTAACACATCAACCAGTTGAAGACTTATTGGGTCATCTACTGCCCATGTTAGCCCACCAAAAGCTACGTGATCCATCAGATTTTCACCAACCGGCAAATCCCGGACGATGTTTATGCCGAGCTTACTAAGATGTTTGGCCGGTCCGATACCAGACAACATCAGTAATTGTGGTGATCCGATGGCACCCGCGCATAAAATTACCTCTTTGCTCGCAAATACGTTAATATTTCGACGATGTTTAATAAATTCCACACCAATCGCCCGATTTGTATGATGATCAATCAATATTTTTTTCACCTTGCTTTCGCGTGTCACATGAAGATTCCGGCGATTTCTTGCTGGGTGTAGATAGGCTCTGTTGCTGCTCATGCGGGTGCCATTTATCATTGTGGACTGCACATACGAAAATCCTATCATATTCTTTCCGTTATAATCCAACAGCGGGTATCCCAGCTCTTTGCCAGCATCTAAGAAAGCCTTTGCCAATAGCGTATGGAATAATGGATAAGAGATATGTAACGGTCCCTTAGTTCCGTGATAAATAGTGTCTGATTGCAGCTCTGGAATATCGATTGTCTCCAGCTTTTTAAAGTATTTGAGAATATCCTTGTAAGCCCAACCCTCGTTCCCCATCTTAGCCCATCGATCGTAATCCTCGGCACCTCCTCTGGTTGCGATCATGTAGTTTAACACGCTGCTACCGCCCATTACTTTGCCTCTAGGCCAGTTACATCTGTTGCCTTCCATACCAAGACAATATTTGTTGGACGATTTGGTCTGATACTTCCAATTGATATCGTTGCTTAGCTGCAACAAGTGAACGAGAAGCGGGATATCCATAAAAAAATTCTCTTTAGATCCAGCTTCGATCAATAACACTTCAACTTGATGAATCTCACTTAATCTCGCAGCTATCGTGGCACCGGCCGTTCCGGCGCCTATTACCACGAAATCGTACACTGCTCCAAATTGCGGAACTATATCTGGTACTTCTTGGTTCATATAATGTTGACTTTGTTGTAGAAAGTTTAGAGTTCCGATACCAAAATCAAATATATTCGTCAATTCGCATCCGCTCACATTATCGCCGTAAAGATTGTGGTATCGTTTCATTGTCGGTTGTTGGCTCGATTGTAATGAAACAAATACGGCGACGACAGTAAGAAAATGGAAGAGCCTTGGCATTTTACCTGGCATATTCCAATTGACTATTGGCTATTGGACGTGTGTCTCGAATAAAGCACGATAATAAAAAACTACACTTGGAAGTTCGTCTGGTATATATACAGATCTATGTTAAAATCCAGTTTAACGAGTGTTATTGTATGTAAACATCTATATTATCCAACCAACACATCAAATAAAAAAAATTATGCATAATTATACAAATGATGTCATAATGAGAAAAAAGGTATATTTCATCTCAATCAATTCTCATCAATTAATTTTAGGATAGCAAGAAAAAAATAACATTTATCCTTGAGGAGATTTTTTATTAAAGTCCATTAATTCCTCCCGTAAGAATTAATTGACAGATGAGATATATCTTAAATCTTGAGAGAAATAGAAAGATATATCTGTTATTTATAGATCTTATCTATCTTGACATGATATTTTTATTCGCAATATGAAAATGTCATGGATTCGTATTTTTATATTTGTATTGACCACGAAGGCCATGAATGATGAAAATAACTTTATTGAGATTGCAATAGATCACAATAGCCACGAATAAATTATAATATTATTGAATCCCAAAGAAGAAGAGAATACCAAAAGGCCACAGTGATTTTCATCTATAAAAATAATCTGATAAAGTTATCTTAGATAGTTTCTTTCTAAATTGTTTAAAATCAGATTAGATGAATATCGTAATCTTATCAAAAAGAACACGAAACAAAAGTCCGTAATTCCTGAACATAGATTGAAGTATAATTATGATTTTGACTGAAATCGTACAAAGATTTTAGACAGAGAAAAGAATTAGAATAAATTTTTTTAACAAACAAAAACATGGATTAAATGTGTAGGAGGACACAGAATTTTTAGATCCATTATACCAAGATCTATTCAAAAAGATTTGACATTTCCATGTTTTACTTTTCTAATTTATTGTATAAAATACATATATATGTTGTATGTTTTATTACCATATTATACGGCGTTCCATGCTAAGCCAGCCATTTTGTGAAATTTTATGGATTTCGTGTTCATATTGCTTGAGCTTGAACAGTTTGATGAATAAAGACTCTATGTCGAATAATAGACCTATAGGCTAACTAATTGCCGAACTGTAGGATAACTTTCTCGTCGCAACGCTCTTTTCGCTTGTCGTTAGTGAAAGGCAAGTTTGAAAATGAAATATTGAAATGAAAATACATTTTATTATAGAAAATTGAACGCTCTTTCACATGAAAATACTCTTTTTTTTTTCAATCAGATTAGTTTTTGACGATTTCTATTTTTAAATTTTTCGTTTTTAAATTTTTTTCAAAATGGCTACGACTAAAAGGTCAATCTCAATTTTCTTTTAATGTAGCTCAAAATGTAACCCCAGGTCTCTATTTTATGTTACTCTAAAAGGATATAATGAGACACGCATTTGTTTGGGAGTAAGAACTCAGAAAGTGAGGCAATGTCATTCCGTCATCCTGCCGGCGCGTTATCACTCTCAGTCATCCGGTATGGGTCGCTGTTTGACCCTGATGACATTGCTGTACATGCACATGAGTTTAAAAACAAACAATTGCTCTCTGATGAGTTTAACAGAGTTGAGATTGTCTTTAAGGAATATCTTAATGCCCGCATTACAAATGTCTTTTTAATTTTTTTATAATATTTTTTAGTTTTTATTTTTTCTATTATTTTTATTAATTTTATTTTTTTTTTATATTTTTATTATTTTTTGTCGTTTTTATTTTTTATTTTTTATTTCTATTTCCTGAAATATTTTCATATTTTATCATTTATTTTCGGGGGAAAGTAATTTGAGTAGTGACATTAAAGTATTTCTTAATCGATAGTTTTTTTCTCCAGAAAGCGGAATAAAACAGTGTTACTTTTGTGTTGATGGCACTGTTTTAAACGTGGAAAATCTGGCTGCCCCAGCTTTTGTTTAGCAGCTTCGTGTTTGATTCGTCTTTGAATATAAAAAAAGCAGTCAGATTTTCTGCGGCTAAAACAGTGCCATCAACACAAAAGTACCATGTTGTTTTATTCCGCTTTCTAGAGAAAAAAAACTATCGATTAAGTAATATTCTAATGCCACTGTTTAAATTACTTTCCCTCGAAAATGAATGATAAAACATGAAAATATATCAGGAAATGGAAATACAAAATAAAAAATAAAAACGACAAAACATTACAAAAAAATATAAAAATAACAAAAAACTAATAAAAATAACAGAAAAGAATAAAAACTAAAAAATAAAAAAATTCAAAAGACAATTGTAATGCAGACATTAAGTTATTCCCTAAAGACAGTCTCAACCCTGTTAAACGCACAGAGCAATTGTTTTTAAACTCATGTATATACTATATACAGAAATGTCATCAGGACCTCTCACATATTCTCTAAACATCTCGGTGCTAACATGTCTTATTTCACAAATCATCATTAATATTATTACGTAAGTTTTTTGTTTACTTGATTTGAGTTATGGTTTAATGACTTATTCGAAATCTTTATTAAATTACAGATAATCTGAAATGTAAGATTTGAGTATTTTGTTAGATAGGACAGACAACACTATTATATTTTATGAATATATGTTAACACAAAATTCCATTTGCTTCGCATCACATTTTTTATATTAAATTTATACGTCACTGATTTTATTTTTCGATTAGATCACTGAGGAAGACTTACTCGAAAGGGTTGAAATGTTTGTTAATTTTTCTCAAGAATGAAATATACGAATTTATACACATCTAACTTGTATTAGCTCGCGTATTGGCTGATTTATCCTTGGACATTCTAATAACTAAATAATCATACGAGATTTGATATGTAAGAAATGATACACATCAAAAAAGATGCAAAATAATAAAAATATTCGTTTGACGGATATCGCTTCAGGATAAAATTAATCTGCACATATAATCTTAGCGGAAAAAAGCTCGTATCTCTTAATTATTTTATTCCTTCCATTATCTGATTATAACAGATAATACATTTAATATAATAATTAAATAATATTAAAATTAATATTAAATTGTAGAAATAAAAGCAGCATACAATGTATAAAAAATTCATCTCAGAAGTTTACTTGACAGTACTTTCTGATAAAAATATATCTACAACGGCATATGAAACTGCCCATTTTTTAACGAAAGAAAAGACAGTGATAGCAAATCGACAAATTGGTTTATTCAATTATTGTCCATCAGAAGAGAACCTTGACCCATTTTTCAGCCAACAGTCGGATTCCACAAAGGAAAAATTCAGGTTTTTTGGAGGCAATCCAGTCATCTAGCCATTTTTTGGCCTGGCATTGTGCTGCAAAATGAACTTGTCATGGCGATTCTCCCATTCTCTTTTCGTGCAGAGCTCGCTTCAAACGGATCAGTTGCAGTCGATAACGATCCCCAGTGATGGTTTCCGATGATTTCGTCCAATAATGCATCCAATTCCGTGTTCTCAAATTTTTTGGATGATTTTCCGCTGTCCTTGTTGTCCATAGAGAAATCATCACCTTGGAACGCTCAAAACCACTCTTTGCACGTTGTACTTGATGGAGTATGTTCGGCATATACTTCCTCTAGCAAACGATGCGTTTCTGCGGGCGATTTCTTTGCCAGGAAATAATACAGTATAACTTCCCGCAAATGTGATTTATTAGGAACAAAACTTGTCATTGTAAACACAATCAAAATAGATGATGTTAGTAACACAAATGTCACCTATGGCGTTTTGGCGACTCTATAGACCTGTCATCATGTGTATTGCCAACTTTCAATTCGAAGAAATAGTGTACTTAACGCAATCTATTGCCAATGGGCGGTTTTATATGCAACCACCCAAATATATATAAATAATTATAAATATATATATATATATAAACATACATAAATATTCATAAACATACAATAATTTTATATATCCATATATCCTTATTTCTTTTGTAAAATTACTTTTTAGTATAATAGAGAAATAATAATAGTAATGTGAAAATATTAAAAATAATTATAATGGTAATTCTCATATTATTTATTTTAGAAAAAAACAAGTTTGGAAAAATGTAAAAAAAAATCATCAATTATGCATAATTATACATAAGTATTTTTTTTACATTTTTTCAAACTTGATTTTTTTAACGAATGCAAAAATTATCCCTTTAATTATTTTTTATGTTCTCACATTACTATTGTTATTTCTATTACAAAAAGTAATTTTAGAAAAGAGAAAGGATGTATGAATATGTATGGATATATTTCATATATGATTACACATATTTATGAATTTATGTATGTTTATACATATTCATACGTATGAATTAATTATCATATTAATGTATGAAAAATTTTTTACCGAAATATTTTTACAGATACAATAAAAGTTGTGATAAAATACACAATATCTCTTTTTATCGGTCAAATCATTGATAACGTCATGCGACATTTAATGTTATTTTTGTAGGTTTGATACTTATTGAAAATTTATTGGTCAAATATATCATACATTTGCAGTCTAATATTTAAAATATTTGTCAGACTGCAACAATATGCATATATTACACATAGAATTTTAAATGAGAATTTTTATTTGAATATCTTCAGAACGATAATTAATAGCTATATTAAAATATAGAATTTCAGATGAACCATTTTTTTCGGTCATTTCCTTATCAAAAGTGGACGTTCCGTTTAAATCAATAGCAATAATTAAATGGCGATTAAGCGACGCAAGAACAAATTTACATTTTAAATCTAAATGCGTTTTAACATCACACTCATATTTTGAGAATTAACAGTGGCGTGCATCAAATTTAAAATCTGGTCGTAGGATCTTAAAATAGAGATTTCAAGCTTTAATTAAAAAAAAAAAACCGCGTTATCTTATGATAATTTTTCGCAAAGTTATCGTTAGTCAAAATTGGCCAATTTTGCCCACAATTTTTCTATGCCATAATTTTTTTGAGCAGTGTATTTAATTTTTTCCTGTATCTCTATTTGTTTATCTAATATAAAATGATGTTACCTCTATCCCAGACCGAGAATTAATAAATAATTCATAGAAATTATAAAAATACCTTTCTTATAGCTGGCATGAGATTGGCGTGTATGATCTTCCAGCCATGATAGATTATATCGTGAAGATCACTGGTCGCGAAAAAATATTCTATCTGGGGCATAGCCAGGGTACCACTTCTTTCTTCGTCATGTCGACGGAATTGCCAGAGTATCAGCACAAAATCCAGGCTATGTTCGCGTTGGCACCAATCGCTTATTGCAGCAGATTAAAAAATCCCATTTTTCAATTCCTGGCAAGATTCTCCGATCCATTAGACGTATGTAATTTTAAATTCGATAATAAAATAGTAATCAATTTTTTACCTTTTTTTTTTAATGAAGTAAACATCTCGTTGCAGAAACTGTTAAAATTAATCGGTATATACGAATTCGCACCTACTGCGGAAATCATGAAACAGTTCCAGAAAATGATATGCGCGGAAGATGCTCTCACGCAACCCTTGTGCACTAATTTGCTCTTCTTAATCTCTGGATTCGACAAAGATCAGTTTAATACTGTACGACATCATCATTAACATACCTTTAATTATTTTGTGAAATTTAAAATAAGAATTATCACATAGTAAACTCATTTGTTACAACCCATTTGCACAGAATTTGCAGCAATATCGCTGCAACTTTTGTGCAACTTGTACTATAAGGGAGCACTCTATTATTAGTGCATAATGATAATTTTTTTTAGAATTAATCACGAATTTTATAATCATAGAATTTATTTGAATTATATATAATAATGTCAGTTTATTATTAATTCGAGATTGTTTGTTCATACTGCTGTCATCTTGTAGACTCTTCTACCATTAATCGTGGAACATGCTCCGGCTGGTGCAGCCACGAAACAAATAATACATTATTTACAGCTTATTAAAAGTGGTAAGCATCTATTCCACTATAATACTCTGTATTATACTCGCATAAATAAAGATAGTGAAATATATATCGTAAATGCACTTCGTTATACTACTTCATTAATATTTCTTTAAATTTTATAAAATTATATACAATACATAAAATAATTATACAATTATACGTATATAAAATTTTTTATAAATCACGAATATATTTTCAGGATCCATTATTACATCGGGGAAATTTAGACAGTACGACTACTCACTCATCACTAATTTAATCAAATATGGTACGTTCCATCCTCCGAAATATGACTTGAGAAAAATCAAAGTGCCAGTTTCATTGCATTATGGCGCCAACGATTGGTTAGCACATGTCGATGTTCGTATTTTTTTAATACATAATACTACAATAGTTTATTCAATTTTAAATATCTTCAAAATATGCAAGAATATTCATTTTTTCATGTAAAATAAACTTTCCGATATATTTTGGTTAGAACAAGTATCTTGAAAATACTGGAGATCCTAAAATTAAATAAACTACTATGTAGTTTCAATTATATAGAAAAAATTATTATGTGTTTACATCATATCTTTATCATTTGCAGGATGTTGACCAATTAGAGAAAGAACTTGGCAATCCATTTGGAAAATTCCTTGTTCCATATAAAAAGTTTAATCATTTGGATTTCATATGGGCTAAGGATGTTAAAGAACTTTTGTATAACAAGATATTAAATCTGATGAAACATTTCGAACATTAAACTAAAGTTCAATAAATTTTTTGCAGAGGCGCCTGAGTCACCGCCATATTGAATCGTGACGTCAGAAGCGAGAAATAACATGTTAATTTTTATTACTTGCCATTTATAAATAAAGACAATTTGGATAAAACAAAATGATTGTTTTAAAACATTTGTCAAAATGAACGAAAACTATGCTTATTCCCCTTAATAATCAGTAAATAATCGTAAAAAGTGATGAAAAGCACATAGAAATGCTTTTATTCAATGCGCATGCGTAGCTTATTTTCACTTACACGTGCCTTTACCACTTTTTACTGACTATCAGGCAGGAGAAGCACAATTTTCATCCATTTTTACAAATGTTTTAAAGCAATCTCATCATTTTGTTTTATTCAAATTGTCTTTATTTATAAATGGCATGTAATAAGAATTAACGTATCATTTCTTGCTTCTGACGTTATGATTCAATATGGCTGTGGTGACTACTCAGGAGCCTTAAATCAATTCCGTTTATCAGAAAAATTTATTATAAGGCTAATGCTTGCGTGACAATATAGTTATCGAATTGAATTATCAATCCATTAGAGAGAATTTTATTTAATCACGAATTTCTATTATCCTCGATATTACTTATGTGTTCATAAAATAAGAAAGTCGTGATGTTTAAGAATTAATGATATCAATTTTTTTCACTTGCATATATAAAAATTTTATAATTAATAACTTAATTAACATTGTAATTAATTTCGAATTTAGATTCAACTATTGACAAGATAATTATAAATAAATATCTAATATTTATCAAGATATTATCTTTTATTTTAATTTCTAATTATCAAAGGCAATATACTATAACATAAAATATCTTTTGGGAGAAATTACTTGTAATAGCAAAAAAAAAATTAATTGTAATAGCACTTGTTTTAACTTATAAATAACTTTAAAAAAAGACTTGAAAGATACGTGTAAGATATGTATTAAGGTTAGTATAATAAAATTATAACGTATATACAGCTAGTTTTTCTTCAGATGTATTAGATTCTGTAATGTTAAACTAATGTAATGTAACAATAAACTGATTATTAATAAATCAATGATATTATCGATCTTATCATAAATACAATAAAGAAACTGAAAAAAATTTATTTTTAGGGAACTCTGAAAGAAAGTAAGTACAGGTATGGTTTTTACACACGTATATACAATATATATATATATATGGACGGAAATGAGATACACGAGTCTAACGAAGTTATGCAAATTATGCAAAGCACAACAGGTAGTCCTCTAGTCAGCCATTCCACATTGTGAGTCACAAGGTTGAATTTTATCGAGAACACATTATTGATGTTCCTGGCATCGCGTGCGTAGGCTGCAAACGTGTGTATATGTATATTATGAACCCGCGCGTGTTACGACCGCAATTCGTTTTTTTTCCTCCGATATTTCAGCATTATAATTTTAGGGAAAATTCGACCTTGTGATATTTAATACCGCTCTTATGTAGGATAACTTTGCTTTCTATTTTATACATTGCGCCTCGCTGAAAAGAAAAATACATCGTTTCATGGGTGGAACTGATTTTTATTGTTAAGCACAATAATATTCATCTGCTTTTACCGCATCTTCTGCATGTAGACTCGATCGTGAAATCGGCGGAGGTGCACAGAGCAATTCTTACCCTCGAAAGCTCGATTCCAAAAGAACCAAAATGATTTTGTCATAGCCACATTTATTTTTCATTTGTTAACCCGTGTTTCACGAGTGTAAGAAAAATAATTCAGTATTTTGTATTCTATTTATGTTTTAAAAAAGCGCGTTCCGCAAGTAGATCTTGATTTTGATTTTGGCAAATCAAATAAATATGACAACCGCCGCCTAACAGCGTAACAGGTTCTTTACTTAACGTGTATACAAAGTACAATTGGCTTTTACCGATGATTAATTCGAACCTATTAGCAATATATTTCTTGAACCGATCTCATGTAGCAAGTACGGCGAAAGCATAACGTACATCATATAACACCGTAAAGATACAGCTTATCCTGTGTTACTCTAATAATATATGCAATATTTATGAGTTAATAAACCTGCTGGAATATATGTACAATAAATAAATAAAAGGAAAGTAACGTAATAACATGTTGAATATTTTCAGATGTTCTCAAGGACAAGTTGATCTTCAAAGTATAACTCGATATTTTTTATCGTGATACTTTTGAACATTCTGCTATATATTCGCTGCTTATAAAAATGGCATTGCGAACTTCTATAAAAAAAAAGATCATGCATGATAGTTTGATATTATTTAATAGTCAGTCTAAAATTTGAACAATGTAGCAACATTTACGATAATCAAATACTGCATGAAAAAATGTTTAAAGATTGCACTGTATGTATAAATAATATATCATATGTATAATCTATATTATATATATATATATATATATTTATATATATATAAGTACTCTATAATATGGAGTGTTGAATATTACATAAAAGAATTTAATACGGATAGAAGGTGATATTTCTTCTCTGGAGAAATGAATATTTTTCTAAGTATACATCGCCTCGAGATAAAATGTCTTCCCCCCCCTCTTTTTTATGTTATAATCTGTGCACAATATAAAAATTGTGAAGGTAGCAATGAACGAGTCAGATATTGTTATTCAATAGCATGTTAGTTTTATATCTGATCGAAATAAAGTTATCAATAGAGTATGTGTACGATGATTATCGCACGTCGAAAGAGAGATTGAGCTCCTTTTTTTCCTTTTCTGTTCAATTATTTTGAGAATTCTTAATGTAACAAAAGATATCAGTCGCAGTTGTATAGCAAATACAAAATCAAGTTAATCAGTATACAATACGTAAGAGACGACAGTGGTTACCAATTAATATAAAATAACAATTACAGGGGCAATCAATCTCATTCGGGTTTACATTCATTATTGGCGACTACTTAACAGATACCATGTATGTCCGGTTTTTCATAATTTGAAACAGTTTCTAAAACGTAGGGGGTGCGGATAGACTTTGTAGACACCCTGTATAGACTCAAGTAAGGTACATGAACCCAGGGCATGTATTTGAAATATTTTTATTTGAAAAACAATATTGGCAACACAATTATATTTTGTATTTTGTATTTTGTGTTTGTTCGGAGTACATGAAAATATTTTGTATTTTGTATTTCAGATATTTCATTAATAACAAAAGATGAAAGAATTTTATATTTCAAATAATAACACTGACAATCAACTTTATTATTTGAATTATAAAATTATTCAAAATATAAAAAGCTTTCAAGCTTTTGATTTCAAATACAAAATATGTAATATTTTTATGATCCGCTAAAATAAAAAATACAAAATACGCTTGTATTGTAAATAGTGCATTGTGTTTTAAATAAAAATATTTCAAATACATGCCAAGTCCTGCATGAACCTATTCTACGCAAAAAATGTAATTCATTTAGTGTTGCTTGAACACTATACGTTAAACAATTTTACGCTAAAATTTACTAAGTTAAAATCGCCAGTATTGAATTTAACCGCGTATTTTGCAGCATATTTACCTAATAATATAAAACAAGAACACAACAAACTTCTTGGCATACAAAATACATTTTAACATGTAAAGTTGTATGTCATTCTTTTCTTCTTTTTTTCCCTTAGTTTATCTCCCTACCCTTCGGCTGTGTCTTCTCAAAATTTTTTTCGGATTATCCTTTTACTTATGTAACGACAAACAATATATCAAGAAATATTGATATTTATCTTCATTTGCTTATCCGAAACATGCGTTGTTTTTTTAAAATAAATTTTTCAATGTGTACATAATGAGTAATGAAGTCTCTTTTACACATGGCGGTGATTTTAAATGTATGTATTTTGCATAGTGAGCAAGGGAGGAAGAGGAAGGAAAAAGGATGTTTAGGAGGATAGCAAAACAAGTTTACCCGCTCTTAAAGAGGAGAATGGCTACCTGACCAAGGTAGAAATAGATAAAATGTCTTGTTTCGTGCGTCACATAGCTACCAAAATTACGTCCTACAATGCAATGCCACGTTGGGTTGTACTTTTTATCGAACTCTTTCTTGATAAATGCTGCAATGTCCTGAAAGCCAAAACCAATGGATATTAATGGTAAAATCAATAGTGTTATTGATTTAACAATCTCATCCTGTGTAACTTGAGAATTTATATAACAGAAATTTTTCAGAGAACAAATATCGACCTTTAACATAATTTCAGTAACTGCATTTACATATTACAACTTTAAATTATATATATATATATCATGTCCTAAGTCATGTACTTCAAATATCATATAATACCTATTGAATTCTTTAGCTTCTTTGAAATTACAAGATCTTTATGTATAATTGTACTTCTTTATTCATAAAACTTTATTTATTCTTATTCCTAAAAGTTGTTAACTTGCTTAATGCAAAGACATTAATGAATTATTCAATTTTGTATAATAAATTAATTAAATTCGTGCTTATAAAATGTATTAAGATCCTTACTGAATATAAGATAAAAGAACTAAAAATCTATTAGCAAATATATCTACTTCAATCGCATGTATAAATTTTCCATTCTTTGTACAATACACTTGTGTGTGATGTTTACAGTGTGTTATCTATATCTGTATACATAAAAGTGTAATGAGTATATACCTTTTCAATGTTATATTTTTCAAGAGCTTGAGTGGCACAGTCAACAGCATCTTGTTGCATTTCCTCCGACATATCAGCATTTTTGATTACTGCTTTTCGGTCCGACATTTTGTCTGTCCTAGAACATAAAGATATAGCATTGTCATACTGTGACGCTATCATCATACAACGAAACACCTTTTTCTAATGTAAACACTGAGAGAGACACCTCAGTGTGTTTTGGCAAAAGTGCAAATATACCAAAAGATATATCCACAGACATAAGTATGTATATGAATTCGGGACGAAAAACTTTGTGAGCAGCGTGAATCCGAAAGAAATATAAATTCAAATGAGTCCGCAATTGCAACAGTGACGGTTCACCACTGCTTCAGATTCACATCACTTTCAAAATAAACGACTTATTTATAAGCGACATTATCGGCATTTTGTGCTCAAAGTAAAATGCCACAAGGGTGAATCGCGCGAATCGGAGACTGCTGTTCGACAACTCCACCGGACGTATCGTTATATATATATATTGGGAGGCTCAACCTGGGCCGCGGGAAGCGCACGACTTTGACAGTAGCGTACACGTCTACCGCCGGCATGATAATACGAAGACGAGTATTAGGCGAGTGTTCGGAGTAACGCTCGCCTCAGGTAGAACAAAGACGAGAAGATAGAGGAAGAAGAGAAAAATAGATAGCGCAGGCGGAGAAAGAGAGAGAGAGAGAGAGAGAGAGAATTCTCGCTCACGCGAATATGGGTGCAATGCACAAATAGAGAATAGAGAAAGAAGGAGAGAGAGGGAGGAGAGAGACAAAGTTACATAGGCACCGATAGAGCGAGCATTTAGAGGGTGAGAGAAAGATAGAAGAGAGAGAGACTAAAGGAGGAGGGAGCGCGAAAGGCGCGGGAGGACAGTGTTTTGTCGATACCGACGACAATAAAGAAATGGCAATTCGGCCGGCACGCGAGGTGCAAAGCCCGTGAAAGTGGGTCGCGACGATGCTCGTCCTGGCGCCGACGTCGTCATCGTCGAGCAGCATCCCGCCACCCGGCGACAAATCTTCGCATATGACATAAGAAAACGCGCGCAACCGGACGGATCTGGCCACGATCCGGTCTCGACAAGTTTCGTGGCTTTAGATTCGTGGGGGAGGAGCAAGTGGACGAGCATGCATTTTTGATAAATTGTCAATGTTTTCTCTATCCTTACTCCCCTTCTCTCACACGAACAACATTTCGTTCATTTTCTCTCTACCTTTTCTCGTTGACACCGTCTCCAGTGGATGATCACACACGATATAACAGGCTCGCCCTCCTCTCCGATCCGGTGTGAGCGAGTGTGGCCGTACGCGAATCCGGCGAATGCCGTTTATTTTAAGTGATAATCGCGCGCGTACGATATTTCTCGATACGACGGTATACGCGTGTGACAAGAGATTTGACCCGAACGATCCTGCGACGGGCGAATTGGCGATCGGCCGTTTCCTCTCCTGCTGCTTCCTCGGTAACACTCGGTAAAATTTTGGGCTCGCTGGCTCACAGGGACCAAAAGAGAGAGGAACGATAACTTTGCGACTCGAGCTCCTGACTGAGAGTACGGCAGTCGCTACCGCGCTATACAGGCTTACGATTGGTTGGTTTGCAGGGTCTTCTATCAGGAGCTTCTATCGGACCAGCATGCACCGCACGAGGCGACGCGCGAAAAACAAACGCACGCCGAAGAGTCTAATGTCTATTTTCGTTTCCTGGCGACCGAAATGATTGCGTACGTCGCATACGACATTCGATGTACGGATGATACGATATTCAATAAGAAAATTTTGTTCTAGTTTGATTATTACACTAGTTGCAAAGTTGCCTTTTCTGCTGAATGCAGTCAGATTATTAAAGACGATCGGATCAGATAATGGACGGTATTCATAGTTCGTTTTTATTTTTTAAGATTGTCTTAAGTAATGTCTTAAGACGCTAATATGGTTCTCTGATTGGTTCGTGACTTCTTAAGATTGTACTTTTAAGACAGTTTTGAATATAAGATTTGACTATAAATACCGGCCAATAAGTATAAATTTTTAAAACTATTGTTAAGTGGGCTTGATAGACCGGAGGATAAATGAAAAATGGTGACATTAACCAATCCTTTTGGCTGATCTAACAAAGTAAGTATCCAGAAGACGGCTCGCACCCTAGAGAAAACGCATGTCTGTAATGGAATTCTCTAAACATCTTATCAATGATTGTCGCTATCGTTAATTAGCGATAGCTATAATGGCAGATCAATCCTGAAGAAAGCGCGGCACTCATTGACTATCGCTAGTTAACGATTGCGACAATTATCGATGAAACGTTTAAAGAATCCTGCAACTGAAAATACCGATCATGAGATACTATTAAAGACAACTCACACAGCGTGACAGTTCGACGACTAATACTCGACTTTTTCAGTCAACTTGTAAAGTCGACATTTAGTCGACTATTTTAGGTTCGTCTTTTATCAATTTTGAATGTCAACTGTAAGTCGACGAGGTCGACTATTTTCGAAAATCTAAAAGCCATCTTGTTTGTCCGACTTTTAGTTAAATATTGTTAACTTTCTATTAATAATAATATCCAGATATGTTTACATATATTAATAATAATATCCAGATATGTTTACATATATTACAAGGGATATAAAATATGAAAAAATGACTAAAAGATGGCTTTTTTCAGGTTATTTACAAAGCGAAAAGATATCATGTCTATTAAAGACGATTTTATTGAAAAATAATATAACCATAATAAAAATATTTTTTCACCATTTTTAATTTTGGTTGTTTTATTCTTTGTTAAAAAGATGTTCGTATTGAAAAAATGTTTACCTTGCGAGCTAACCGTAAATAGTTATTGTAATATTTTGCTAAATATTAAATAAATCATGATCTCTCTCTCTCTCTCTCTCTCTCTCTCTCTCTCTCTCTCTCTCTTCCTCTCTCTGTGTATGGAGAAGTTGACGAAGTATCGAGCAACTGGAGCATGAAGGAAATAAAAGATGTGACATCATTAAAAAGGTTCATTTCCAACAGTTAAACATTTAACTATTGCTAAAATGAATTACAACTGGTTTGATACGACTCTGAATACGGGCCGATATATGTCATCATTTAAATTGCGCGCCGAATTGATTTTTTGGACTTATAAACGCAATTAAACTACTATGGTAATATGACAAATTAAATTGACAAACAATTTGATAATTTTGATGCTCAGGCATCCTATTAGAAAGATGTTAATGTATTGAAAAACTATAAATAAATTTATTGCGATAAATAAATTACCTCGGTCGGGAGTAGAACTTGGATTTCTTATTCCGTACGAGCGTCCTAAGTCCTTAGACTACCGAGACTTTTAGTTTAAATATAGGTAATTTTAATGAACTCTCGAGATTTAACGAAAAACGAAGAACTTTCAGTTTCTTTAATATTGTTACGACATGACAAAGCAAATACTAAAAAAATTTAATGAAGTTATATTAATACTCGAAGGAAATAATATATCAAGTTGGAATGAGATACCAGGAATAAGTTGCATTATAAAATATCCAGTTGTTTTTCTCTTTTCTTTTTATTATACAATATTTAATTTTTTAAAAAGCATGAAATTTATGTTTTATGTAATTGAGAGAAACTCTTTGTAAAGTCTGGTTTCTTGTTAAATAAAAATTTTACATTTTCAGAATATAGAATCGCGAATATTCTTTCTTTTGGCTTCTTTTGCTAAAAGTAGAAATGATTTCTAATGTGATAACGATGGAGTTTATATATCCGGCCGATCAGTGTCAATCTAAAGGAATTAAAAGGAAGTTTAAAAATATGAAAGCTTAAAAATGATTGGCTCGACCTACTTTTCAAAACGATGGGAAGATTTCGACTCTTTCATTTATCCGATGGAATGTAAGTTTAATATCATATAAAAAATATACACGGTGTCTGAAATAACGATCGTTAATCACGTAGTATTCTTAATAAAAAAATTGATTGTGAATCAAAAAATCCTCTACTATGTTGTAATTTAAACAATATCTTTTTTTAATTATCCAATAAGCAAAATGTCTAAAATTGACGTATAAGCAAGATATCTTTAAGAATTCTTTAAGAAACTTCTTAAAAAAATATTTCATAAAGAACACTGAAAGATGTCTTAAAATTGTCTTGTACATCGATTTTATCCGTTTATTCGGCAATCTTTAGAAATTAATATCTCGTATTGCAAAAATTGCAAAATGGTAGAGGACTTTTCGACTTAGTTTTTTATTAGAAATAGCACTGTGTGATTAGTGGACGTTATTTCAAATATACCTTGGATATATATAGGATGAATCAAAGTAATTGAATTAGTTTTTTACCCTTTGAGGAAATTATTGATTAATGCGTGGATAACATGATCATATATACGAACTGCATTTGGTTTGAGCACGGAAACAAACATATTATACTTGACGTTGCGTTATGAAAATTGTTACAATATATTAAAAATGCATTTTCTTCAATGCGCCCAGCAATTTACATTAGACCAAGAGGTCACTGTAGTGACTTTGTTACCCAGAGTATAAGTATGAGAAGTGAGTAATCTTTTATTTCATGTAAAACATAAAAATAGTATATTCATATTTAAGCCCGGTCATGATTGAAGGAGAGGTGGACTTTTCCAAAAATGCACATTTTGAGCATTTTTATTGAAAGCATCAAGGTTAAATGCTGCAATCGATAGTTAATACCTTTATTCCAAAATAGGGAAATCTCCCATACTCTCAGAAGAGTGCAAAGCATCGCCATACTGGATCAAACTGGTAAATTTTTCTGAAAAAAAAATCAATAACGACAATGTTGAATTTTTGTCTACTACTTAATTTTGATATCAATTGTTGAGAAATATGATTATCATACTTTTTAAATGGTTATGAGGGCAGCCATATCTATTCAAACACGTACAATTTTATGTAGAGTAAGAAAATGGGTATTCTATAGTACATTGTTTCTGATTAATTGAAATTCTTATTCTCTATTCCTGTTCCTATTCTCTGTTCCTATTCTTCAGACCTCTGGTCAATCAGTCGGAAAACGTTGTCGTATGTTGTGTACATGTGCATAATAATCTTCATTTTTCGTTGGCTATCGTGTTGGCTGTCGATGCGGCTGCCGGGCGTCATTTGGATTGGTCAGGTCCCATCTTTTACGACTAACGATATTCGACAAGCGTCAGCAAACTTGATTGTAGATGAGGCCTCATTGTGCACAGCCCTATACCATATCAAAGGCGCTGTAAGTGTCATGGCGGCCGACTTCCGCGCAGACGCGCGCAGCCAACAATTCAAATTGAGATCACAATTTGAAATATAGACTATTAGATGATCGGTGCTTTTTACGCGAATTTTAGACAGCTGCAATAATGTACTCGATATTTCAACTATAGAAATTTAAAGAAAAACAAGAATTTATTCGCGGAAAATGCAAAAAGGAGCGAAATAGTTTTGATCAAATTTCAAATTGGCGCGTACGTGTAGGAATGAAGTGCGACATCTCATAATGACGCGCCATATCTAAAGCTAGTAATCATAAGTCGGTGTTCATAGTTCGTCATAGTTCGTTTTTTATTTCAAGATCGTTTTAAGTAATGTCTTAAGATGCTAATACGGCCTTCCGATTGGTTCGTGACATCTTAAGACTATACTTAAGACGATTTTACATATAAGAATCGACTGTGAATACTGCCTATATTCAATTCTTATATTTTTAAGATCATCTTAAGTACAGTCTTAAGATGTCATGAACCAATCAGAAATATAAGTATCCTGTTCGTTTTAGAGGTTTTAACTATCATAGACTACGTTTACACGACTCGATTTATATCAAAATTATATAACACTGATATAAATCGAGTCGTGTAAACATAATAACAGTTTCTAAACTTAAATCTAAATAGGTTCATGTTTAGAGAGAGAAAGAAAAAAAAAAGTAAACAATAAATAAAAAATGCCAGCAATAAAATATATAGCCCTTGTTTTTGTCTCTTGTTTATTTCCTGCAAATTCCTGTAATTAAAAACAATGAGAATTTTTATGAATTGTCTATGAAAAAAAAATAGACTAAAGAAAGTTACATTTCAGAAATTTTTTGATTTTCTTATTTTGCAGGAAAAAGAGTCCACGCGGAATGATAATATATTTAAATAAATTTAAATCGTATTTGATAAACATAAATCATACTTGTAAGCATTATCTCGTAGTTGAACTTATATGTATAGTATATATTACAATAGAGAAAAGGTTATCACGTCATTAGTATTGAGAATTAATGTCTGGAAGTTTACTAACTCCAAATATTTGTAACTTACATATTGTTTATTTCAAGAGTAATAAAATTCGAAAAATGTGTTTTTTTAGTTATACCAAGAATGAGAGTTAAGTAAATACTTTTCTATTAATCGTAAAAAATGAATTTATCTCCATATTTTTTTTGCTGATGTTATTTGATTATTATTATTTTGTTAAACAATAAAAAATAATTTTTCCTTTTTTGGGGACTTTTATTTTTTGAGTTATGTCACTTTTGAAAGGAGCAATATATAAGTAAAAACACGTGGATGAATTGTTCCACATCTTTTATCTTTTGTTATTGTTCATTTATTTTGAATTTGTTATTTTGTTTTAGCTATATATTCATTTTTATAAGCTTGTTGAATTTGGACAAATTGTTAATTTTCGCTTCAAGAATGCTCCAAATTTCAACTACAAATTAATATATACATATATATGTTTTTCCCGCAAATAAAAGGCAACTTTCTCAGAGTCATATGTATATGCCTTTCGCAATTAAAGAGTTAATATACAAGGTCGATATACATTCGAACGTTTCAAGTCAGTCAATGTCTTTACAATAAATACTTTGTCAAGATAGGTATTATTCATTATGATACTGAGACATTTGACCGTGTGCACGCTTGGCACGGGAAGGAGCATGATATTGCACGCATTGAATTTATAACGAAATATACAATATTATATATATATAATAATAATAAATTAAAGAATGTGTTTTCGCGTCGGCTACATATTTTCAGTCACCGCTTGGTCCGTTACATTAATTACTTACATACAAATTCGTCGTGTGTAAAATTACAATATACATATATCATATAAAGATTCCTGTGATACGCGCACTGCGGCTGCAGTCAATAAAAACATTGACGAAGAAAGCTCAGGGCAGTTTGAATTTCGTATCTTCCAATGCTAATTACGCAAGGTAAAGGTAAAGAAATTTGATCGGCTTTGTATTGGCTTGCCTCGTCAATGCCTCATGAGAAGTATCAATCTTAAGTTGGCAAAGTGACACGCAACAAAACGGCAGGGACCGTATTCTTGTAAAATATCGCATATCAAAATGGATGAAAATACTATAATATACGCTACGTATATTATAAATTTCTAGCATTTTCGTATACGATATTATTCAGAAATAAGGTCTTAAACGTTGTTTACTGTTATACCGGTGGAGGTCCATTCGGATAAAAAGCTATTGGCGTGAAGCTCCTCGCGAGATTGTTAGAAAGCATACAACTGTAGTCTTCTTCTGCAGATGGTACCAGAGATGCGACGCCAAGCAGTAACAGCATCAATGCTTGGATTGGAAGAGAAACTCGTAGAACTCGTCCTAAGAAGCGATAACCACGTGCCAATACCGTTTGGTCTCTTTCGTCACCACTGCAACAAATTTCCAGGAATGGAATATTAAATAAGATTATCTCATTGAGATGATGAGAACTAATTTTTCTTACAAATGACAGAGCTTTATTTACCTATCTCAATCATTAAATAAATATGTAATTATCATGATCATCCTTATGATAAATAAAGTTCTATCGTAAAATTAATCGACAAATATTGTCACGAAAAAAGAAACAACATACTCTGTGCCGGTGGCGTGAGGCTGAGCAGTCCCAGAGGCAGCTTCGTCGAGCAGCTACAGTTCAACAAAACAGAAAACACAAACAATAAGATACTGTGCAAGTGATTACTACGAATAACTTATATGCATGTAAGTGCCATCGTGATGACTTCTCATCATCGAATGACGCTTCTCGTTCTGAAAAATTTGTGTGATTTTACTAATTTGTGCAATAATCTACGATAAATTATACACAGATGTAGAAATAAAAATATTGTATTAAGATTGCTTTTTATTCAGTAACATCACCGAGGAGATATTATTAAAGACTAACATATTAATATGAATTAATGTGACCAGTATGACCACTCCAGGGAATGAAAATTGAAGAATGCGGACATTATTGTCAACTGTTTTTGCAGTTCCGAAAATAAATAATGAGGATTTTGTCTTCAATTATTGTTTTACCATAAAAATATATTTTTAGATTTGTATATTTCTGATAAATAAAGTCACTATTTCTGAAATAGTGATTAGGAAAAGTAAAATCTTCATTAATTTATTGTTGGGATCACTAAATAATGTTTGTATTCTTCAATTATCACCGAGCTTTCAGGGCTCTTTTGGTGATTGACGAAAATTTGCCTAAGGTTATTGGTCTTTAATAGTATCTTGTCGCAGTGGTAACATACATTAAAAGTGACAATCGTGAAATCTATCAAATACCTCACTTCTACCAAGTTAGCATTAATAATAAACACATTTTCATCAAATTATTTGAAGGTGAAGAGTTTAATAGAAAATGTTACATGGCTTTTAAGAGGGAAAGCGATTGATAGTGATTGAAAAAAATCATACTTAGAAATAAATCATTACAAATATTAGGTGTTGGAATTAATTCGTAGCGTTTTACAAGTGATGGGAAGTACTTTCATTAATGTATTTTTTAATGCTCATGTGAAATAAATAACATTCTTTCATTAAAAAACGCTACGAATTAATTCCAACACCTAATAGATGTAACGAAGTAACAGCGAAAAATCAAAATTTAAGAAAATGAAGCCGTTTAGTTTGTTTTACATTACAAATGAAAATCTCATTGAGAAACCTTTGACCACTTGATGATCAACTGATTTGACTCATATTTTACGGTAAAGTTAAGAATCGATCTGATATCTATTGCCAAAAACAGAAAAGGTCAAGCCATTTTTGAAAAATTTTACAGACAAACAATCAGAACGAACCAATACTATAAAATTATAAAGTAATTTACTACACTGCATTTTAATTAATAAATTGGTAATAAAAATTAATTAATAAACATGGAATATGTATGTGTTTTTTTAATATTTTAAAGCTAATTAATTTTTATATGATAGTATTTATTATAATGATAATATTAACCAAAAATTTACTTTGAATCATACATATTTCTCGTATAAAAAAGGCTAATGTATTTTTATCATAAATTATATTACAAAAATTTATGATCGTATGATTTCACGCATTTATGAGCATGCGCCGCCATGTCAATTTTCAGATCGCGCCGTGACACCGTGACTGTCGGAGTCGAAGTGAAATCGTTCCGCGTTTTTTACCCGCATTTTCTGTGTAAAAATGACCCTCACGCGAAATTACGGGTTCAAACATAGAACTAAGTGCTCAGGCTATCACTGTAATATATTAGTTAACGCGCTCGGTCGTAATTAACAATGATTCATTCGAATTTTCATTCAACAATTCGGATCTTTCTGGAATATTTCTCTCGTTTTTATAGCGTCCATCATGAAGTTGGAGCGGAATTAGCATCAATCAGAAGTTGGCGCTCATTATTACATTTCAATGATGGCGGCTAGATGGCGGTAAGTTTTTATTTACACTTTGAAATGTAATTAAGGTTATCGTTAAAAGCTCTTGATCAATGTACCGATAAAATGTTTTAATTCTTCGGAACAATGTAAGCAACTCACTGGACGAAACACTCGTACGTATTACATAGTATATTTAGCCAAAATAATTCATTCTCGGTATAATAGTCATCATGCATTTTATAAAATTTTGAATGTTTATTTCTTGATGTTATGCGGAAGATGCTTTGAGACTTTCTAAGCTGGAAAGCTAATTAATAAGCTTTCCACAAACATACATATACCATTGTATGGACTTGAAAGAATGAAAAGAAAATGCACATTACATCAGATCTTATTTATAACAATTTCTAGCAAATATAACTAGAAATCTTCTTTTCATTTTTAAATACTTTTGTTCTTAAATTATTACCAAAGTATATTATATGTATAGATGCTTTTCCGCAGGAGACACAGATGACATTATAATACATTGTAAATCATTACAGCCTTCTTGTTCGTCAATGTTAAACAGAAATGAAATAAACTGAGTTATACTATATCTATTGCTGGAAAGCACCATATATCTCAATGTTATATATCAATCAACTACATTTGGTGTCATATTATCTATTAAAAAATCTACTTCAGGCTTATACGAACTTGACAATAATAAATAGATTAATGAATTAATACCATGGTTACTGCTTTGATTACAGGTAGATTTTTTATTATATGAAAAGAATTAATTTAGAACTTACGTCATGTGAGAGAGATGCAAGAGATGTAGACGTAGCAGCGAGACCAATATCCCGTGGGTCCAACCCAAGAGCAGCTCCTAATTTAAGGGCATAAATTCCTGTGAGTCTTCTTAACGACTGTAACCTTAATCGTAGTTCTTGCAGACGCGTTCTAGTTTCTGTCTGTTCGTCCAAAAGATAATTAGTTGCATCCTGTAATGATATTACTCGCGGCTCGCAACGCTCCAGATCACTTCGCAGTTCCCTAAAATAAGAATAAAATAATTTTAAAATAGATTTTGATATATTATTTGTTATACAAATTTTCTATACAAATTCGGCTACTTTGATATATTTAATTTATTGATAGCGTCGATTTGCGAAAAAAATCGATAAAAATATTTACCTAAATTTGTTATATTTTGCTTCTAGGATATTGCTAGATTCGGTCAAATCGATTGGTTCGCTTGCTCTAATGCTGACCTCAGTGCGTTCGAGCCAACTTAATAATTCTTCTATAATACGATAAAATTGGCGATTCGTCATAAGGGCGTGCTGCAACTGATCCTGCCATTCCACAGCAGTTGTAGAAATTTTCTCCCATCTGCTGTTTGCCACAGCCAATCTGTCACGAAGCTCCTTCGCACGTTCTGTATCTTCAGTATGATCGACTAGGTGAGTACCGACTATATTCAGACTCGTTACAATACTCTTATGACTGTCGAGATCCAATAAAAACTCGCGATGATCCTGAATTACGTCCTCCAATTGTTCTATATCATTGGGCGGCGAATGCTGCTCACTCTGCGTACCCTCGGCGTACTCCAACCATTTGTCCAAACGCCATAAATCATTGTCCAGTTGAGCCCAATTACGACGAGAGCATAATGGACAGGTCAATCTGCCACTATCACTGCAATGTTTATAATTGTGATTATAACCAATATATTTGAAATTATAACTACAATTTAATTAATAAATGTTTTAAGATCATGTATTATATTATATTTAACATAAATTATGACTATTTCTGTTTGCTAAAGTTACAAATAGTTCAATTTTGCTTAATGAGATTATGAATTAATTTATGAAAGTTGAAAAGATTTATTAGCTACACAAAATTTTTTATTATATGAGAAACATTAAAACTTTAGAGTTTTTCGGCAATATTTTTATTAGTAAAATAAATTTATTTTATTGAATTTAATTGTTATATAGTTACTCACTGATCACATGGAAAAGCGTAAGCATCGGTGACTGGCGATCTGTATAGGATAAGGGAAGCATTATTATAATTGGCTTTGCTAAGCGTTATTGTTCGAATTAAAAATTATTGCAAGGCAGTGTTAATGCATCTATATTAGCAAAAGGATGAAGCTTAAATAACACAAAGAGAAAAGCGTTCATGATATTCTTACGAATCGTAACAGTATAATGATATATGTATTATTAATTGTTATTACTATACTTTATTAATTGTTTATTCAGCATTAGTTGTTATGTGAATATTAAAAATGACATAAATGGATGATCATCTACATATAAGATATTGTTAAAGTTGAAAATCATACAAATATATGCAAAAGTTATCAGTGTATACATAACTCTTATTAGTGTATATAAGTTAGTATTTTAGGACATTGATTTAAACTCTCAGAAAGTACCACATTAATAAGATAAAAAGAAAGTTTTATGATGTAATTAAAATTGTGTATTTACAGCAGGCGTGCCCAATATTTTGCTCGTGAGTAAACGCTTCCACTATCCTTTCCATTATCTCGTTGAGTGAGATAGAGAGAAAACAAAAATAATATTAAAGCTATCTGAGATAATCTATTTTTTTTTGTTTTCACTATCTTGTTTTCACTCGTCTTGCTCAAGACGATGATGAAGACGATGAGACGATGATGAAGACGATGAAGACGATAAGACGATGAAGAAATGAAAGCGTTTAATTTCGCGAATAAAATATTGAACAGGCTTGATATATATATATATATTATATTATCTACTTGCTTTCGCAATTTAATTAGTTTTTTCTATAAATATTTTTTTCTCTAAAAATTTGCATTCACATGATGAAGATTAATTGATAAAAAAATGTTATTGCAATCTTTGCTTACTACAAAACCTAAAATGCACTAGATATTTAAACATTGAAGTGAGCGTGAAAGAAACTTTACCTGAGCTCTCTGATTTGCTGTTCACGTGCTCTTGCTAGTGCAATGAGTGTTTCGTATCGAGCTATTAGTGTTGTTACCTCGCTACTTTTAGCAGTTCCTAAACTCAATTTGTCGTCTTCCATGAGCAGATTATGAAGGTGGCGTACCAGTTCTATCGAGGACTGGCAACTTCCGATTAGTTTAGCCTGTAATAATCCCGTGATATTTTAATAAAATAACAAAAACTACATTTAACTGAAAATAAAATTCTGAAAATAAAAATCTTACGATAGTTTTAGCAGCCGCATTGAGCCCAGGACCGGAAACGGGATCAGGTGTTACCGTTGCTTCCAAAGCGTTTAGGGCGTTGTTGCATTCGTTCAGGGCAGTTTCCAATTCCATCAAATATGCGTCACATGAAGTCATTCTGATGAGTCTTGGTAGGGTGTCTACTTGAACCGCGGTATCTCGCTCAAATTTCAAAGTTTCTACCTGTACGGCCTCGTCGACCTCCGATCTTTCTTGCGTTTCCAGTTCCGCTTTCAGCGCGATTACTCGTGACTTGATATCTCGCCATAGAAGTTGATATTCGTCTACCAGTTCCTGAATCGCGGCCACGTCATCAGGATTGCTCTCCTGCATAACTCGCAATGCTAACTCGTCTGCTTTGCGCAGCGTAACGTTTTGAGTATCGAGCTCTTCCTCGATTTCACTCAACTGTTGACGCCTTCGTCGCAACGATGCTCTTTGCTCAGGTGTGGCGAGGTGTTGCATTTGCGTTAGGCGAACATCCACCTGTGTCAAGCCCATTACTGCAGTACCATGTGTGGATACGAACTCACGGTAAGTCTTTTGTTCCCGTTGAATGCTCGAGATAATGGCGTTGATTCTTGTCTCCAGAACCAACCATCTGTCAATGATCTTCCGTGTCTCGGCCGTAAGAGATCTAAAGTTGTCGGTATCCAATCCGGACTTGGCCAGACGTCCAAATATCTGTTCTAGGATTTTTAAGGCTTTCTGATGAGCTTCGATATCTTTGGCGATCGATTTAGCTTTCTCGGTTATTTTTCTTGATTCTTCTTTCGAGATCTCTGTAAGATCGTTCTCCAACTCCAACAAAGATTTCTCTGTTTTTACTAACCATGGTTCATGCTCGCATCTGGTTTTTTCCAATTCTTGCAACAGCTTCCAAATCATCATAATTTTTCGCTTGCGCTCGGTAGATTTAATGCACACAACTTTCCATCGTTTCTCTAGACTTTCCATACCGTTCTTTATCGCGTCCATGTTAAAAGAAGCTTTCCATGTGTCGCAATCGTTTAACAGGATTTCACATAAATTTAGCACCTCACCGATATTACCGCTTTCAGCCTCAATAGTGATCTTGAGATGGTCGTGATCTTCGAGCTTTTTGTCGATATTTCTCTGTGTGAGTTTTTCAATAATGATAGCTTCTGATAGCTGACTTTCGATGCCGGTCAACCAAGTTCGTAAATCAGCTATCCTTTTGAGCAATGAGTTCATAGTTTGAATTAGATCGATCAGCTTGTTAGCTCTTGCTTTACCGCCGGCCATTAAACGATTCCACTTCTCGTTGACTTCATCTAAGGATTGCTGAAGTTTTGCTTTCTCTGTCTCTTCGGCGACTTCTATTAGCTCTTGCCCGGTATTCTGTAACCACTCGAGTTCGCGCTGTTTCAAACTCATCTCCGTCTGTAGTTCGCACTCAAGTCGCTTCAATGCCTCTTCAGGTTCGTCCAATGCCATCGTGTCATGGTTCTGCGTTCTGGTCACTGTATCTTCCATCCACGACAACAATTTATTTAATCTATTTTCCCATCGACCATGAAGAGCACAACGTTCTCCGAGTCTATATGATAATAAAGCTAATTGGTATTCAAGATCGCCGTGTTGTTGCGTCAGAAGTGCGTCTTGTTGATTTAATGTCTTCATGTCGCTCGGGCTCAAACACTCTCTCAATTGTTCCGTGATTACACCAAGAGATTCCAAATTTCGTTGCGCGTTAGCTAGGCGAGTTCTCAAATGTTCAAGTGAGTCGAGTTGTTCTTTCGTCCTGGATAGACTTGTTGGTCCCGCATGGAAGCCCGCGCTTAATGTTTGGCCAATTTCCTGGAAGATCGTGACGATAATCTCAGATTGCTTAACGTGTTCTTCATGCAATTTCTGCACTCGTTGAACGAAGTCCCTCCAAGTTTCCAAACCGGCTCGCAAATTTGCGATCCGTTGTACGTTTGCAGCGTGTTCCATGCGTATCGAGACGGCCAGCGCCTCGTCGCAATTAGTTAGGAGGTACTCCTGTTGTTCCTGAAGAGACTCTATCTGAGTTTCGCCAACTGGCATCTTGTCCAACAGCGCCTGAATTCTTTGCAGAATCTTTTCAAGCCTTCTCAAGTGGATGAACTGTAAGTTCATGCGTTGCCGTTCTCTTTCAACTTCCTTTAACCACGTCAACAATTTCCTTTGATCTAATTTATATCTATCCCAGGCCGATATTCTGTCACGCACTGTCGCATGTCGCTCCAATATTCTCGCCAATGTCTCATTGTGAAGATTTGTTAAGGCATTGAATTGCTCGGTAACCGACCGATTACGATCCTCCTCTTGTCGCACCGTTAAAATAAGATTCTGCTGCTCAGGCAAAAGTTTTCGATGAACTTCGCAGAGATTCCGATGCTCCGATAAACTGTTGTAATCACCTGGCATACCGCTCGACAGAAAATCTTGCACATGCGTCAAATATTCTTCCCAAAGCTTTAACGCAGCGATCACGTCTTGCGAGCGGATTAATCGTGTCGACAAACGATGATACTGCTGGAAGGTTTCTTGAAATACGCGTTGCCATAACTGGACCACCTCAACCACCGACGGTTCTTGCACGGAAACATCTAACGCGCGATCCTTGATGGATTGAAGCTGCGGCTCAGTTCGAGTTAACGCGAGTAGATGATTTCGTAATACCGTCAGTTGTTCGTTAGACTCGCCTTGACCCACCGCTGTCAGACTCTGAAAAATAGACGGACAAGCTCTTCTGATTACGATCGATTATTTGATGACGTTCTTTAAAAAATAGACAGGGAAATAGAAACAAATTTATGAGTTAATTTTGGCGCGCATGAATGGTTCCATGAATTCTCGACACGTCGATCGATGCACTGATTAAGTACCGTTCTTACTAAGCTTCGAAGGAAACGTGATTTAACAACGTAGCAACGTTGTTATATTCTCCTAGCAAGTAGCATCGTATTGAATCGCCTTTATCTGTCGATCGACGTTGACGATGCACGCCGTAAATTCCGTCGGGAAACGGAACTCGGCGCGGCGCCGCTCTCAAGTTCGAAAGTTTCGGCCGACGATGTGTGCACGAGTGTTGCAGCCATTCAGCTGTTGCGGATTTCGTGACTGATGTAATTGCCACCACGGGTTAAGCCCTTCGGCCTTGACATAACAAATTGTTTCGGAACTACCGCGATTAAAATATAAACGCGCGTGCGAAGCGATGATCGAGGTTGTGCCAAGCACCAATGGTGCGCCGCTCAACAACTGATGGACGCGTTAGTACGTCAGACTAAAGCGACCTAACGTCGCGGCTCTAACTATCACCTTCCAAGCGCAGGGGAAACGTGTACATCGATCCTTGAAAAATGTTTTAACTGTGAGAAATTCGAGGAAGGTCTCGTTCTTCAAGGTCCTGAAGCCGTTTCGCACGTACGTGCCAGGATTAATCAGCACATCGGACACACACACTCGAGAAAAATATGTGAAACTATCATCATGTATATGCTTATAATTCTAGTTCGACATGAAACTGAAAATCGCAATATCTTATGCTAATAAAATTTTCTTTTTTTTTTATATTAGGGATAGAAAAAAGAGTTTCTTAAATCTATAGTTTCTTTTAAATCTTTATGAGATAATTAAAGAAATATGAGAAATAATATCTTGACACTCATAATGCTCGAGTATTCGCATTAAAACGAATGAAAGATGTTTGACTGGCATGCAGTTAGGCAGAAACAGATGCAGCATGAACGGAGGCATGTACCTGTTGGACCGAATCCAGGAAATTTTTCGTTTGGCATAGATCACCGCGGGCAAGTTCCTGGTTGAGGACACGGGCATCCACTGTGTCCGCGAGGGTCGACAAGGTTTCTCGAACATCTTCGAGTCGTTGACCTAGTGCTTCAACTTCGCAGTGCAGCGGTCCACCAGCGTCCAAACCCACATCCGATGCGATCTGTGCCACCAGACCGCGTAGTTCCGCTAGTCTTTCTTTGTGCTCCGCCAGTGTCTCCTCACAAACCTAAAACAAGTTTAAAATATTCAAGTTTTAACGCGTTCAGTTTTCGAATATAACGTGACCAGGGCCTATATTCTGTAATTTTTTTTGCATCCCTACCGACAGTTGTCGGTGTTGTTTCGCAACTTTTTCACCATATAAAATATCTGCACAACGACATCGACAACTGTCGGTAGGCGTGTAATGTATTTTTATAATATTTATACATTATTTCCTAATTTTAGATTATATTTGTACTTTTGTCATATGTCGGTGGTATGAATTAACCCAGCATATTAAAATATTAATGCAATTATTTCTCTTGCTCAAAATGCAATCAAGCGAGGAAGATCTAGAACGGATCTAAAGTTGTCTACGTGAAGAGCACGTGTTTATTCCTCTCTATTGATATTTATAGACGTGCAATGTATATCTATTACCGCTTCTACGTAGATACTAAGTTTACTATGAAAATACAATACTATACTGTACACATTTTTCAGAACTTTCGTTATCATATACCTTAATCCTCGAGAAATACATTTTATTTAAAGAAACGATTACCTAAAATTATAATATTATTGAGTCGAAAAATACCAATTATTTTTTATATGTTTCGTAATTCATACATTTTAATTCTTTTTGGTCTAGCAGCACATTCTTCTCAGATCATAATTTTTATTTCATTAGCTAATTCGCTAATTATCACTGAAGGATCGCAGAAGGAATCGATACATCTATTGCGACTGTATCTCGATAATTAAATACTCGAATCCGCAAGTGAAGAGATCTGAATAGTTGTAGTCATGTTCACGCGATGAACGTATTGATTTAATCTATTACTTGATATCTGTGATATAGATATCTGTTATACGTGGAATGTTGAGACGAAATACAATATATCAAAGACAAAAAATAAGCTAACATTTTTTTCCTTTTTATATCCACATAAGGATCGCAATGTTTGAAAAGTGCGCGTCTACTTAAATGGAGTAAAAAAGAATTTTTTTTCATTGAACTGTTTTAACGATGACTATAGATAAATGAATGCATACATTCTTGTAACACACACACACACACACACACACACACACACACACACATTATCAGCTATGGAGCAAGACCTTTGTATATTTACACCAATATCCGCCTTTACAAAACACACTTACATTTATCTATATACAAAGGACAGACATTTTCGATTCTATTCGTATACTTTCCGATGTTTAACTTTCAATGCAATAAATTGTATAATTTAATAATTTTTTGAACAATATTATTTTGATGTTTACACTCTTCAAATTATTTGAAATTTTTCTTTATAATATTTTTATAATATTTTTATTAACAAATATCTTTAAAAATTCGACTTTAAAATTTACTCTGATCTCGATTTTTTTTTTAGAAATTTTCTTTGTCAACGATATAAATAAAAATGAAGGTCTCAGAAAAGTCACGCGTGTTATTTTCGCAGAATTAAAATTACTTCTGTCCTGTTTTTTTTTTTTTTTTAATAATCAGCAGCAATTTCTGATTTGTGGCAATCACTGTTCTTCTACCTGCTCATTACATCGTTTTACCTTTATTTCTTCCGGCGTGCACATGTCTTTAGTCCATATCTTCGTTCATGGTTTCTGTTTTTTTTACGCGCGTTCTCATGAAGTTCCGCTCCAAAACTAGGCGAACACGTGCGGCACTGTACCTTCTTCTGTCATCTAAACACATGGTCCGAATCGCCGTTGCGCATTTCACATTCACGTATACGTATACACGTATACAAACTGATGCCTATGTATCATCCGATATATTCATGCTGACGCGTGACGGATGCGATGCTTAAAAATTTCCTCGGAGAGATAAGAAGGGACGAGTACGCGCAGATTCCGACGAGAACGATTCTTCGAGAAAACGTTATCGAGAGCGTACGCTGGATGCTGTAAACGTCGCAACGCCCTGGACCAAACTGGCGTAGTCTCCAAGGGATCGATGCGCACGTCTGTGCGGCTCGCCCTCTTGCCCCGTATTCTCTCGACGATCTACCCCTGCCAGTCGGCACGCCTGCACGAGCAATGTGAGCGAGGGGTGACGATGATGATGAGTCGACTTTTACTCTTATTCGTCCCTTTCTTGTATGCTGCGATAATATCCGTAGACAGTAGTAGTAGTAGTGCGCGCGCATAGTTGGGGACGATGACATCATGCGCTTCCCATTCAAGGGATGAAAGCACGTCTGTTGCATGTCCCTGACTTCGTTATTATCACGACGGAAAAAAAATTATTTTCATTCTGATATATATTGATTTTCTCCGTCGTACGGAGAATGTACAATAATATTTAATATTTTTATCACGTAATTATTAACAACACTTCATGATGAAAAAATAGATTGCACGCTTCTCCATTGAAAAAAAAAACATGGGTGTTTGTTGTACATCCTTGACCTGTTCATTATCGTGAAAGAAAAGAATGCTTCGCTTCATATGTATATCGTCTCCGATATGTATAAAGAATATGGATTGTAAAAATGTTTGATATTCTTTTAACAAATATGATATTCCTAATATTTGTTTATGAAGATACGATACAGCGTATCGCACCTAATAAATTAAGAAGATGAAAGAAAAAAAAACATAAAGGAAAATTGCCAAAAAATCATACTTGAGATATTTTGTTTTGTTTTCTCTTTTGATATTATTATAATTTATACGCAAGTTAATATTGAATATTGTAATTTGACATTTAAAGATATTTCTATTACATTTGATTTTTTGTCAAAAACAAATTAATTTATTGTAATCTCTTTTTATGATATGATATAGAAGATATGATTAAATCTTCTTCTTTCTTGATTTTTAAAAACACAGCTCTTTTAAAATTAAATTTGAGTAAAATAATGAAAAATGTAGTTGAGGAGGATAATATTAGGCGGCAATTTTCCTCTATGTGCATAAAAAGATTTAATCGGTATCTTTCTATATGCCACCTATATACTATACGTGTCTACACATATTTAAAATGTACATAAATTAAAATGATTTAGTACTTAAATATAAACGCAAAGAACTAATACACTCAGCTGCTAAACTTTAAAAGAATGCATAAATAAATCATCCGTATACGACAGAAAACAGATGATTTATTCATGCATTCTTTTAAAGTTTATCAACTGGAATATCAGTTCTTTGGCCGAAACCTCTCTAATTCTTGAATATTCAAATTCTTATTTTAAGAATTGACGTAATCTCTTACATAACTTTCTAATGCTTGTGAAGGTCACCACTTAACAGATCTGTTTGCTAATTATCAGCTATTAACGGGTCTTCTCACGTGTCTTCCGTTTCCGCGATAGAAGTTAGCAAGATTTTCAAAAGTGGACTTTCAAAGTAAGGCTTTTAATTTGTACCAGCAACAAAATATTTATAACATCACCTACCTTAACTTGCTTGACTGCTTCCTCCGGTGGCAAATTTACCACACTGTTCATTTGGGTGTCTACCCAGGCCTTCACCGCGGCGCTAGAGTCTCTGTATTGCTGCCAGAGTCTGCACGCGTGTTGATATCGGGTGCAAAGGGCATCCAATTCGGCCCTTGTGTCCTCCCAAGCCTGTACGGCCTCATTTACTGCGGCGTCGACTCTCTCGCGGACCTCTGCGGCGCAACTCTCCCGCAGAGGTTCGGCAGCGGCACGTAATTCGCCAATGAGAACCTCTCGAGCACCCAAATCGCCGTTCAAACCCTGCCGTTTCAAGAAAAAAATCCGAAAAAATATAATATATTGAAATATATATATGTACATGTATTGTAGTATATTCAATATTTGTACATAAACATTTTGCAAATATTAGAAATCAAACAGTTGTTGCTTTGATTAAATAAATTTGAGTTTTAATACAAAAAAAATAGAGCATCCGTACACTCATTTCTTAAATTAATATTATAATATTGAATACTTTTTAAGAATTATTAAATTCTCATTCACAGAAAAGGAGGTAACAATAATTTGTTAAATATGTTTTTCCATTAATCATTGATTTTTTTTAAGGATACGCTATATATATATATAATGAAAAAGAGATTGAACTTATTTTTTCACAGATTGAAACCTCGCAGGGTTCTCGTCTATTTTTATCCAATGTTGCTATTTCAATTTTAAGAATTTTGCCTGTATGGACGACTTTGCGTCAAACAATTCAAAGAAAGCCCCGGTTTTACTTAAAACACGCTATAAATAAATTTGCGGCACGAGACTAGCACATTTGGAGACTTACATGAATTCGGTCAGAACATGGTTGAACTAATTTTATGTCGTGTACTCTAGTTCGTTCACCTCTTGAATTTTCCAAGAAAAGGCACACGCAAGTGCGTTATCTTATTATCAAGAGAGAATATTAATTTTTATCGAATATCAAAATCTATACTATCATGTGAGAAAAGAAATTTTAAAAATTTTCTCAAAAAGAGTTATTCGATCATACAAGTAATTTATGTGAGGTATTTACGACTGATACTTTACCGTGTTTTATTTGTCTTTATGCATTGACGGCATTGTATGTCGAAGTATTAGGTGTTGGAATTAATTCGTAGCGTTTTACAAGTGATGGGGAAATACTTTCATTAATGTATTTTTTAATGCTCATGTGAAATAAATAACATTCTTTCATTAAAAACGCTACGAATTAATTCCAACACCTAATATATTAATATTAATTATCGATCAGTTGATCTTGAAGAACATTTTGACGTTTAGAAATTCTGGCGAGTCGCGAAGATAAATCGACAGACAGTATACTGGAAGAGGAAATCATAAATATATGTTTGAGCAGTCACGGCGCTTCTATAGACGCTTCTCCACGTGCCATAGTTTACATACCGCGTTATCATATAACATTAATGACCATAATCATCTTTTGTAATTGTTTTTAAAATGGTGCCAGTCATCATTGATAGTGCACGCTATATTTATTGCGAGATAGAATTTTCAAATACGCATCATCTAAGATGGTACATTTATTGTGTCGTTTCAAGATTCTAGAGATTACAAAGATTATTCGTGAATCTTGTAAAAAATAACGTTTTTCATTTATATTGTTAGTCAATTGAAATTGCTTATATTTTACAAACAAAAAACACCTCACGTTTGCAATTATAATACAATATTATCGTTTCGCTAATTATAATTTATGCACTTTATTGCATTTTATATACGCTCGATATTGATTTATTCTTTGCTGAATGAATCGCGAAATTCTACTGCCTAAAGTTATTTCTATCGTGTTTAATATTGCGTTTATGTTACGCGTGTAATTGTACGATTGATCGTAGACGTATCATGATAGATGTGTAATTTCATGTGATTATATGCGAAGAAATCGTGATAATAACTATACTGTACACTTTTATTTAGTATAATAACGTTTATATATCTCGCTCAACCGAACGAGAAATCGTGAGATACATTCTTTGCTTTACATATACTATCTCGTTACAGACGACCTGTTGCTTGTAACAACTTCACGCCTGGCATAATATATGCTGATTTAATACTCATCGATGGATAACGGTGTGTGCATAGACTTGCTTCTTATGTCTCGTCGCGATGCGTAACGGTCTCATTTGCAGAAAAGAAAAAGAGAGACACGATGATTCGGCGGAAATAAATCCTTACGAAATCATTTTCTCATATACGCATTCACATATTAGCAGAGAGTTAATCGATCGCCCCGGAAAGAAATATTAATGACGATTTCGAGCGCCGAGAAATCAAGAACTTTTTCCGAACTATTTTCTTATTAAAGTTGTATATCACACGCACTGATCGGTTCTCGTATTTGTAATAAGGTCGACTGCGAATGTTGTAAAGAGTCATACAAAAGTACCTATGCAGTTCACGCGACTACAAAATGATTAAGGCCCGGTTCCAACAATGTAATATTAACTTTTACCTCGGTTTAATTTACTCTTTATTTTTTTTCTAATTTGAAGAATTAGAAAGAGGATGAACATTAATTCTAATTAATTGTTTAAGCGGTATGTTACAAAATAATAATTCTTAAGAAATAATTAATCGTTTCATATTTTTTTTATCGACACATGCAACGCGCGGTATCGAAAGGATAGCGCTGTTTATGTCCCGCACAAATGTACATCCGGTTTCCTTTTGCAGATAACGCATGAATGCGCTTATTTCATGCCGACGGAGCGTTTAAAAAAAAAAACCTCATCATTCGGTCTATCAAGCATGCGAATCGCAGTATCCGCTGCGCCACTTTCGATTTCGTTTTAGATAGAAATGTAGTTAATTTCAACGTTTATGTTTGCGATGATTATCATTAAAAACTTACCAAGTCATCACTAACGAGTGATGTGTTTAACTTCAATTCTAATGTCACAATAACTTTCTGTTAAAGCGTGAAACTCCGGAAATTCTATTCCAAATATTCTTCATGCAATCCGGAGCGACTCGGCAGTCTCGGCACGTGACACGCGGAACGGAAACGCGACCGCACCATTCAAGAAAGCACTCACCGTCCGCGAGCGAGGCGACGTTACCTTGAGGCTATTTATTGTGCTTCGTCTTCGTCGTGGAATTCCAGCGTCGGAGAGTCGCGCCGGTTCGTAAAGAATCGCCTCATTCGATTCGCGTTTATCTCCCGGCCACGACCGAGCGATAATGCAGGTCGAAATGCAATGAAGTATTTCGAAAGATATCGACGAGTTCGCGGATATTCTCGGCAGCGACGTAAACGTGACCACGGATCCCGCGGCACTGATAGGCACCGCGGTAGCGTACGATAACGCGACTCTAAGCCGCGAAAATAAGCGAGAGCGGGAATGTGACGCCTGCGCGCGCTGAGAAACGCGACGTTCTTGTAACACGTGTGTACAATTTGAATCACTGATAAGATCGGCTTGTATTTATAATCGGATTCGTTCGATGATGTCATAGTATTGCTACGGTAAAAAGTTTTACTGCTAATCATTTGTAAGCTAGGAAAGTTAGTTCGGAAGTTTCGAGATTACGATCTATTTAAATTTTCTCGTCCAACTTAAATATATTGTATATTTTCATAATTAGTATTCATTCGTGGCGAATAATAGATGACATTATAATGAACTCGTTGATATTCCATAAAGTCATTAAAAATCAATGATAATTTCATTGCTCAATATTATTATCATGAATAAACTGCTCTACTTTAAGAGCAAACTGATATAATATAAAGAAAAAAATAACTCACCTCGAGGCGCTCCGTGGCCTTCAGCAATCTGTCGTAATCAACGGAGTCTTGGACGGTTAACAGTTCCATCATATAATCCGCTTCTTGAACGGATTGTTGCACCATTTCCAGCTGCCTCTCGAATCGTCGCCACAACTCCAATCTATTTGTCAGCAACGAAAGCAGATGCGCGCATCTGGATTCAAGTTCGGTGTGTACATCCTGTATATTAGACAAGTCTCTTTCTATGCTCACTGGCGACACTGTTACTCTCATGCCGGTTGGTAAATTATGCAGCATCTGTCTTAATGCCATTAGATCTTGCCAGAGAACAGCTAATTCGTTGGCGACAGATTGACAACGATCTACAGCCGCGGCTACCAGATCGCTTTCTTGTCTTTCGCTACCTTCGCATTGATCCAATATCATCGATAATCTTTTGTGAGCCTTCCTAAAGCGACTTAATCCACGTTGAAGAGTCTGAATCTTTTCTTTGAGTAGCTGTGCCGAATCTAGTTCTTCGCTTATCTGTCCTTCTATGCAACGCGCTGATGATAATAAAATTCCGACTCTTTCGCTCTCCGCCGCTGGTAAAAGACCTAATCTACCTATCTCGTTCTGAATCAAAGAGATTCTTTCGAACAATATAGTAAGTCTCTCAACGTATAGGTCTAGTTCTTCTTCTGTCTTCAGCACTCCATGGAAACTATTGATGGTCATTCGTAACTCATTTAGCTCCTTCTCGAGTAATTTTAATTTCTCGTTCGACGAGATCTCGTCCGAGGAAATGCTGCGAGTGACATCTTTTTGAATTTCGTTGATCTTATCACTAATCTCATTCCAACGACCCTGCAACTCGTAGTGAAACTGTCGCTGCAACATTTCGTCCGACAGAGGTATAATTCGTAGAGCTTGCTCGAAGTAATTGTCCGCTTCGTTACGCGTGTTGTTATGAACCTCATATTGTGCTTTTAATTCCTGCAAGCGTAAAAAGATCGCTACAGAATTTAAGATGTTTAATCACTTGTGTAGTTATATCGGAAATTATAGCCGTATAGAAACAAAACATCGTACACAGTTCTTTCTTGCAATATGCATTTGAATTGTAGAATCCGGAATACATTATAATTGCATTACATTATAATTGCAGACTAAAATTTTTTTTTATAAAAAAGTGGATGACGCAACGATGACGATGATGATAAAAATGAAGCTAACGTTACGTAATACATAACACTTTCGTTCTCCAATTTTAATCGTACTAAAAATACGGCTCGCGTGAAAGAGAGGATGTGCTTTCGATGGCACAAGGCCAAATGTGTTGGAAAAATGTGACCTAAATACATGTACAAATACAGCTCACATCGCTAAATATTTTTATTAAATTACTAACAAGTTATAAATATATTTAACAAGAATCTAAACATAGATCGAAAGAATGCTTACCCAGAATTGACGCATAGAACTCCCTGATGGATCATGTAATGTAGCAAGTTCCTTCTCAGCCATTGTTATCCAATGTTCTACGCGATTTGTTAGTATCTCTTGATTGTTCCAACTCTCTCTAAAAGTCAATAGTCTTTTTAGAGAGGATTCAATATTGTCTTGCAGCTTGACGATCACGTCTAAAGCTTCACCATATCGATCTTCAGGATCCTCAATGTCGATAAGATCACGAAGACTACGTGCCACACCGAGTAAGTGAATTAATCGTGCATGATGAGTTGCTACATCCAATGATAAAGACTGAAATGTGACAAATTAATTATTAAAATTAAATACAGGACGTTCATACATCACAAATTCGTTAGTATAATTTGTAAGCCTTAATATAATAGTATTAATATAATTACTAACTTGATATAAAGAAATGTATTGATCGTAGTCAGTCGAAGTCACCGTTTGAAGATCAGGAACTCGTTGGTGTGCAACCTGGAGCCATCCTCTTTCTTCTTTTACACCCTGCTCGAGTAGCATCCATCGCGACGCCGCCAAAGCCATTTGTTGCGCTCTTGAAGCTGCCTGATCGAGCAGCGCCGTTGCTTTACTATGTAGTTCTTCGTGCAAACCGGAGTGTTTGGCTCTGGTTTCAGGATCTAGATTGCCTTCCAATGATTCGAGAATTGCGCGACAGTGGTTCAGATTGACGAAAAATTTTCTGTGCTTCTGCATCTCTTCCTGGAGATGTTCCAGGCTTACTGCGGATATCGGACTGTCCAGCAAATTTTCAGCGATTTCGATAATTTGCGCAAATTCCTGAAGAGTTTGCTCATATTCTTCGGCTAAAGCGAGCAATTGGAGAAGACGTTCTCGTTCGATACATATACCATGTTCGATGATCTTTGTTATCTCATGCGCTGCGTAGATTTCTTCAGGTATAATTTTGCCGGGATGATCGCGCAGTAATTCTTGAGCAGCATCGAGAAGACTACTTGTCTTCCACATATGACAGCGATTGGTATTGTCTAATTTATCGAGTTCCTGTAATTTCCATTGTGTGGAATACTCGCTTTCGATTATGTAATCGAGCTGTTTACGTTGTTCTTCGACTAATCTGTAACAAGAATTTATCATAGAAAAAAAGGAAATTAATGATTAAACTAAAATTATATTTATTTTTTATCACTTCTACTTTTATTTTTGGTTTTAGTGAAATATACTAAAAGATATACTACAAAAATTTATTATTAAACAAATTTATTTACAATTAAACAAATTATTTATTAATATTTTTATGTAGTATCTTACCTATATACGTTATTAATGCTATTTAGAAATTCATCCCATCGTGCGAGTTGCCTATTAGCATGTCTCTCTCCGTCAGTAGTAACATGCTCGATAATTTTCACCTGATGCTCAAGGGCATCTACACATTCTCGTAATTTCTCCCGTTCCTCTTTCGGATAGCTTGCCTCTAATTGCTTCCAAATATTATCGAGCTCACGGACACTTTCTTCTACATTATTCACCTCATCTTTCAATTCAATGAACGTTCTGGCGTCCTCATCAGAAGGTCCAGTCGGACATTCTCTGTTTAGGAAGATTCGATATTCAATGGTTTCTAACCAAGTCGAAATTGTTTCGACAACAGTAACAAGAGTTTCTTCGACAACTATGACATCATTCTCTTGAACAGCATTTTTTAATTGCGCCAGTTCTCTGCGAACATCCGACGAGCGTTCTTCCGCGAGTCTTTCTGTGGTGACTTCTTCTAGATGCGCGATATGCAAGATGTTACCTAAATGACTCGATTCGTTGGTATTCTGTAGATTCTTTACTCGGTCAGTTATTATTTTAGCTGCTTGCATCGTTTGCGTTCCCTGATGTTGCGGTTTAGCGCTATATCCCAGAGATTCCTTTAAAAGGAAAGCCGCAGATAATGCTTGAGGAGACGATACTTGGATAACGGATTCTTTCCACAATTGCGGTTCTTTCTTTTCATATATTTCTGCTGGTGTTTCAGATATTACTTCGGCGTACGTCTTGATTTCCGTTCGCAATGGTTTAATATTTTCTTTATTCAGAATAGGTTGCTCGATTTCTATGGGCGTCAACGGCTCTTCAGTAGTATCCATTGGTTCAGGCGACAACTGCGTAGATATGAACGGTTTTTGATCCGACGACATTAACAATGGTTCTATCATCGGTCTACTAAGCGCAAATGTTTTTCGCACTGTTGCTACTTCAGGTACTATTGTTTCTGGAATGTAATTCGAATCGACAGATGGATCACTCATCGATGCAGGTACTACTCCCGAGGTAGTTGAAATATCCAAAGGTATTTCTTGAATGCCTTCTTCACGTCGATTCATTTTTTCTATTATAGTTTTTAATGCAGTGTCTTCCAATTTCACATCTGGTTCGATCTGAGATGTTGTCTGAGAAGGATATTCGGATGCCGCTTCCTCCAATATATCGTCATTTTCCATCGGAGATTGTTTGCTGGCATGCTGTTTGACAACATCGCAGTAAGACAGTTCCGCGACAGTATCTTGAGATTCCATGGATTGTCTAAATGCAGATTCAAGCTCTGACTTATCCTTGCTCGGTACAGTGATTTCCATAGTTTTATGCTTTCTTTTTCTTTTTTGCCGTTTCGATACCTTATTATCATGTTCCGCGATTATGTCGTTATTGAGATCTTCGGCAATCGTGGTATCTTGCGAAGTATCGGTTGCTTCCTTGCTAACAGATGCAACACTATCGAGCGTATCACTGGCGGATAATTCTATAGTCGCGTGAACATGGATTTCAAACGACGTATCCGAAGTATTATCCTTTTCTGACATGGAAGATGGCGTAGATTCTTTTGTTTTTGTAATAGTCTCCATTGGTTTTGGATGTTCTACCACCACTTCAGAAAATTCATGTTTTGTTTCTTTTTCGACGGGAGCATTCATCTGTACGATATTTTCTAGGACCGTTGTAGGAATCTCTGATATCAGCTTATTCACAATTTCTACTTCTTTTACTTCCTCTACGGATTTCACAATTTCTGGTACTTGTACATCAGGTGCTGCTGGAGTTTTTTCTAAATCTATTTTCTCTTTCTTCTTCATCTCTTCTAAGATAATTGGAACGGGCACTTTGCTCAGATCTTTTGTTTCAACTATTCCCGTTTTAAAATCTTCTGTAGATACTTCAACAGTATGAGTGGGAACATATGTTGTCTGTTGAGATACTGAGATTGTCTCAGTTGGTTGTTTCTCTTCTTTTGGTGATGTTTGTACGCTGATCTCACATACTTCGGGAATATTTTGTACACTTTCTTCAATTTGTGGTATCAATTCTTCTGCCTTTATTTGCACCGAACTATCAGAAGTTTCAGTTTTCTTTGGACTGATTTCTGATGTCTGTGATTCTTCCTCTGCAGTTTGTTTCATATCTTCAATGCTAGTTTGAGCAGATTCTTCGCACACTTGTATAGGTTCCGGACTAATTATTGGACTTGTTTGCATCATAGTCTCTTTAGTTTGCTCAGGCGATTTTGTTTGCATTTCAGATTCCTGCAACTCCACTTTTCGAGGACTCTCTTCAGGCGTCGTTTGTGTTTCCGTTGTTTCAGCA